CCGCCGTCAGGGTATCTGGATCCAGCTGCGGCGGCGGGCCCCCCGTCAAGAAGCTGGCGGCAGGTGCTCCCGCGCCCCACACCGCCACCAAGCTGCGTCTTTCCAGCTGTAGCTGTCCGGTGTCCAGTTCGAGATGCGGTGGCAGCGGGGGCGAGGATGGTGGCGGCGGGTTTTGTGGACTGTAGGTTGAGGGCTGTAGCCCCAGGCGCTCCATGGCGACGGCTGTAGCGGCTGGTGGTGGCGGCCGTAGCGGGGTGAAGGAGGCGAGGGGCAGCTGCAGGTGGTCGACGTGCTCTCGGATGGAGATGTAGGAGCCGGGTACACCGGCACGAAGGGTGTCTAGTTCGGGAGCTGCGGGCGGAGCGGGGGGCGGGGTCGGGTGGGGGGTGGGGGGAGATGTGTTTTGAAATTTGTGTGCGAAGGGGGGAGGTTGGGATGTGTGCGTGTGAGTGTGCGTGCGTGCGTGCGTGTGTGTGTGCATGCGTGTGTGTGTGTGCGTGTGTGTGTGCATGCGTGTGTGTGTGCGTGTGTGAACGTTACAAGTATCTGACCGGGCCTGCCACTGGCCATGTGTGTGCGCGCGCGTGTATCTGTGTGTGTGTGTGGGGGGGTGTAGCTCATGAGTGCATATGAAGTGAAGGAGGGAGATGGGCAGGGGTGGGGTGGGGAGAGGAGAGGCGGGGCTTGTATATAGGTAGGGTTGGCACGGGTACTATACTAGAAAGAGTACTATACCATAATAATACTATGCATAGTACTATTTACTATGCAGGGCTCTAAACTGGTACAGGGAACGAGCCGAAACTTGACCAGGTCTGCGGAAACTTTTCGTAATCGGGAGGCCCTTTGCGGAAAGGCTGCGGAAACTGCGGAAAGCTGCGAAAACTATAAAATGAATATGTAACGATGTTTTTTAGCTCTTCTCAGTGTGGCGATAACATGGACAGTCTGAAACCACCTTGTGGCAGTGCGGTTCCGTCCGGTGGGATCTAGAATCTGGTGGATTCCAATCGTGCTCGAAGGTAGAGCCACCTAAACGTATTACTGGGGTTGGCGGGGGCCAAGCGATCAACTATTGTGTGCCCACACCCTTGACGGTGTTCACCCTGCCCCCTTCAAGCAGCCCGCCTCTCTTTGAACCCTGAGACCCCAGGCCTGAGCAGCCCTATCGTGTATCACCCCCATAGTGTTGTTGGCTGACGGAATTGCTCTGGGATGCTCAGAAATTGCCACTCGTATGTTACATGGGGTAAGGGCCCGGGGAGCCCTGAAACACTGAATAATAATCGTCTCCCTGTCCGTTGCGGAGCAGTGACATGTCTGCATGCCTACTCCACATACCCGTCCGGCATGTCTGCATGCCTCACGGACAAGTCTATGCTGACTGTGCATTAATCCAGTAATCGTCCAAACAATATGAATTCAAAATAAAAAAATCATAAGGAATAAAAAAGGCGAGAGGGCTAAAGCATCTAGATGCGGGCGTGCATCTAAAAATGGCACCGCACAACGATAACTGCAACGACGTGGCTCTGTTCAACTTCAACCACGTTTACGGACATTGTGGAATCAATTATCAAAAACCCTTCTTCTGAGCAGAAACACAGTCAATCTCTATGACTTCGGCAGCCCCCAGGTCGGGGCCAGTGGTTGTTGACATTTAACTTAATCTAATAACTCCGTAGTGTATAACGCAGTCTTTAAATGGCAAACGCATGCCTGGAATCTGTTTTTGACTTTCCGCCGTACAGCAAACGCGGAAATGCGGATTCTCTTTCGCATTTCCGCCAATCTGGGCCTCGCTGCGGAAAGCGTGACGAAACCTATTTACGCAGGTTTCCGTTTCCGCAGGTTTCCGTTTCGGCTCGTTCCCTGAACTGGTACTAATTTACGACGCTCCGACCGCGTTCGTACATAGTAAAATAGTATAGTAAAAATAGTAGTAGATAGTACTAGATTTGGGTTTGGATAGTGTCCAGTATTAGTTGGACCAAGTCGAGATCTGCAGTCAAGCTGTATTTTGAAGGGCTATAGCCGCGTCTTCGAGCTGTGCTACGTAGTTATTGATGAATAATGTCAAAGGAATCCAGTATAAAGAATGACAAGGCGATCAGAGGCTTGCATCCTGGTCCAGACGTCCCCCCTGAAGTTCTCCGTTCTCGGAACGAGCTTTTTAACAAGCTACGTAACCAGAAGAAGAACGCCAAGACGGGTAGTCTTTGGGACAACTTCGATGTGGAGTGGTGGGGTGGTGTACCAAAGCTAGTCTGCCTGTTCTGCGATGAGCCGCTCAGCGCCGCAAACCCATCCTTTACCAACGCGCACCACATCAAGCAAGGTGCTTGCAAGGCTATCAAACAGCGTGCAGCGTCACTCAGCCAGCAACAGCAACAGAGTGGAACCAGCTCTGCTGCGGCGGGCCCCAGCACGGCGGATCAGCAGGCCCTCTCCAAGCGCCGGCGCGGCATTGATGGCCAGACCCTCCTCCCAGTGATTCCCGCGACTTTCGCGGGGCAAGTCGTGGAGGAGCTTGGCATGTTCTTCTACAGGAGCTGCGGCAGTTTGCTGAATTGGAGGGTTACGTACTGGGCCGTTGTAGTGCAGGAACTTCACTAGTATGGCGTCCGTGTGTTGTCTTGTCAACACTGGGTCTTCTATCTGTGATTATGTCTTTATGTGCCATAACAAGCCTTGAGACATGGGGTTTGGGGTCCACCTACCGGGCATTGAACTAACAAAAAGTGATCTGGATGACCACAGCGATCTGCTTCCTCATGTCTAAGTAGATATTTAGAAAGAACAAAAGAAGACCTTTCCAACGGTGTAATTTTCAGGTACAACGGTTGGTCGTACACCCCCCTTCTACAGGGAGCGTGTACCTGCCTAGTAATAGTATCATAGTACTACATTACTATATATAGTACTATTTCTTACTATACTATACTATTTGGGTAAAAAAATATAGTATTTTTGCCAACCCTATATATAGGTATAGGGAGAGGGGGGGACAGAAGGCGGGAGGGACGGAGTCAATGGTCGATGCCAAAAGCAAATGTAAGCCTAACCCAGAAGACAGTCGCAAAGTCTGCAGTTCGATACCGGCGTCCCATCATTTCCTTCACTATCACCGTCATCTTTCACGCACTCACCAAGCTCGGGGGTCTGCAGCTTGTGGCGGACCAGGGCTACAAGCATCTGTACGGCAGGATTTGGGGTACGGCATTGACAGATGAAAAATAAGGAAAACTGCTCGAGGCCGGTACGGAAGAGATATCGTGTGGCTGCACTACCTCACAGCTAGATCGGTAGTCGCTGTCGCTGTCAGGAGCATAGGGCCCGGAGGACAGGAAATGGCTGGATGCTATGCCGGTTGCGTCAAGTCAGGGTCCCCCTTTCCCTCCCCCCTTTCACTCCACGCACAAAAACACACACACGCATGGATCTCTCCTCCTAACTCTAAGAACCTCTCCCTGACGACCTCATCTTCGCCCTTAGGCCAAAAACAACGTGTGGTGTACGACAAACCGGCCTTCGGCGACAACCCACCCGTGGCCCTCTTTTTCCCCTCCTCACCGCCTTTCCCAGTTTTGAAGCCTGCTGGCGTGCAAGGTGCAACATCTTCCGGACGTCTACTGCCTTGCTTATCAAACACATCAGCAAATCCAACGGCGAATTTTCCTGCCTGCCGCGCCCCCCTTCCCCCAGCAAACCCTTTTTCCATCCCTTCCCCCCTTTCCCCCCAAACCCTCTATCTCCCTCCCTCCCTCCCCCCCTCTCGCCCCTTTTTCAACCCTGTCCGTGCCGCCGTCCTTCCCCTGTACCTTCCCCCAACCCATCCCTCATTCCATCTCGCTTGGCGAAGCATACTGCCGTACCTGCCGTACCAACTGCTCGCAGCTGTCCCGGGCCGCCGTCAGCAGCGGCATCGGCATCAGGTTGGGAAAGGCCACGTAAAGGCCCAACATGCAGCCGCCATCCGCAACCTCCATAGCCAACAACAGGAGGGACCCCGGCCCGCTGCGACTGCCGGAATGGTCCGCGAAGCCGTTTCCGAGGCTCCCCGCGCCGCCACCGCCGCCTCCACCATGCGGCCACATAGACCCCGCCGCCATGCTGCCCTTGGCGCCAATCAACATGCACACGTCGCGGGAGGGCTGCCGTACATCTGCAACGTGGCGTGCCGTATCCGCCACGACAATGCCCCTGGGAACCTGCACCAGCGGCGACTGCGCGCGGGCGTTACAAACCAGGCGGGACAGCAGCGTGTGCGAGAGCTGGAAGGCCTTGGCGCTCATACACAGCACGGGGGCTGACACGGTGGATGTAGGGCTCACAGAGGAGCAGCGGCCGAGGGCCCCGCCGCGGGAAGCAAAGCCGGCTGCGGTGCAGTCCGCAGCCGTTGCCCGGGGTGATCCAGCTACGTGGGCCATAGTGGCCGTTGCTGATGGTTGTTTGTCCGAAGCAGTTGTCGTACAACCTTCGGAAGGCTGTAGCGTGGCTTGCGAGGAGACTCGGCGAACCGGCTTGTGGCTGGACTTGGTCATGACGACACTCCTGCGGGGGGTTGGGGTAGATGAAATATGGGCACGTCATACATGTACGTACATCAGAGGGTGCAGAGCGTGAACACACGCGTGCATGCCCACGTGAAAGAGGACATAACTCGAATTCATGCGAATTCCTGGTGAGCGAATTCAAGCGAAAAAAAGAGAATTACTTGGAAGTGGCCGCATATTCTCTGGGCTACCTAGGGTTCAGAGCCGTCGGCTTTTGGACTCACAACCGATTCACAACCGATTCCCAACCGTACTTTGGCCGTTGCGCCAGCCCGGATGACCCATCCCGACAGAGCTCATTAGCAGGATCCCGACCACCGCTCGGGATGGCGCTTGGCTTGGGAAACACCAGCCCTTGGCCGCCGAGCCACAGCCCCAGCCCATGCGGGCCGCCGCTGCTGTGCACCGCAGGCTTGGTTTCGGGGCACAGCATGAATGCCAACGTCGAATATGGCTCCGGAACCAGCGCCGACTGGACCATCACGTCTGCATGGAAGCGTTGTCGTACATGTTTGGACAGCGCGCTGCAGACGCCCGCGACGAGCGCGTGCAATGTCGTACAAGAGGCAAGTCGGCGAACGCAGCCGGACAGCCAGGACACGTACTCCACGTCGCCTGACGCCGCCAGCGCCAGCGCCATGGAAGCCGACATGGCGAGCTGTTCCAATGCGGGGCCGTTGGCCAATAACAGAGTGCTACTGCCATTTGCCCGGTAGTTATGGCTACTGCCGCCTTCCTTGTTTCCGATGGCAGATTGGGCCACACCCTTGGCGGTTTCAGCGGCGGCGGTGGGGAAGGACGGCGCATGATGAGGCACCGCCATCCACAGGGCCCCCAGGACGCGCTTGCCGTACGTCAGCGGCAACGCGGCGAAAACCGTCGGGCTGGCGCCATAGACCTGGCCGAAGGCCAGCTCCGCAGCGCAGTCCCGGGGGAGCAGTGAAAGGGCGCCGGAGGGCGCCTCCACCGCGGCAGCGGCAGTGGCCGATGTGTTGGTGGTGCCCGTTTGTGCAAGAGCTGAATATCCGTCGAGGCGGATGGTGGCGGGTTTCTGCTGTTCAATGTGGTTCGATGTGTACGGCAGTGGGGAAAATCAGCGGTTTGGGGAGGAAGGTGTTGGAGAAAAGGGGGGTCACTAGAAGCTGAACCTAGAGAGCAACAAAATGCACAGTTTTCCCCTGTTGCACACCTTCCGTAATGGTGCGGAATGACGTAGTATGTTTCGGATTGGCTATTTATAACGTAGATCAGCCATGGCATGCGACGCGATCTTGGCCGCTATGCCAACTCAGGCGTGCATCCAAATGGCGCCATGAAACTGTACGATGTACGACATACCTTGCTGCTCATCGCTTGTTCCAGAAGCAGAAGTGGCGTATCGCTGCGGTCAGCGCTCAAAGAAACAGCGGAGGACAGAATCGAGTACGACTGACGGCCTGAGCCTGTGCCGGACAGGGAAAGCAGCGCAAGGGAACGGCCAGGGAGTGCCTCTTCCCCGCACCGCGCCCATGCAAGGCCCTGTCCAAAGCTGGTCGCGAGCTGAACAAGATGAAGCATCTGTGAGTCATTGTCGTCGGCCGTCAGACCGTACAGCCTGATGCAAGAGGGGTCAAATGTTGCCGCGCAGGTTACTATTATGGATAAAATTTGTGTACGAACTTGGCCTTATGGTATGGCTTATCTTTCGAGATCCAAATGGTAATTCATAGTGAAAAAAAGAAACAGTAAAATGAAGCATTGATGCGGCTGCTAACCTGACAATAGCAGCTGGCCCTAGGTGCTCCTGGACCGTAGAGGCCAGGTGGGCTGCGCGCGCTTCGAAACCATCGCCTTCTAGAGCTCCCAGCGCAAGCTGCAACTCTTGAAGCCGGCCGCTGTCGACTTGCGGAGGTGGCTCAGAAGTGCCTGGAGCATGCTTAGAACCCCCAGCGCTCTCCTGTTGGAAGACCGTGCAAAAAGTGTGTGCACGTTTCAGCCGACGCCTGGCATGCCGTTTTATGCAAATGATTTGAAGGCTCTCTACGTACATGTATTACCTGGGGTTGAGAGCTACCCTGTTTCCAAAAAGTTCCAAGAGCGGCATCTTGTGATGGTTTGCAAGCATCGTTGGTGACAAGTGCCTGGCCGCATGGCTTCTCATTCCGGCCTAAGCAGCACTCTAGCAACCCCATGTTAAGTGTGTCGCTAAGACCTCTGAAGCACGCTAAAGTTTGGAAGCTTTACTACGAAGGCCAAATGGTTCCCTAAGGGTTGCGGCTACGTTACACCCCATGTATCAATAGCTGGTATGATGTCAATCAGTTAGCGATGCACGTACAACGCAATGGCCCTTAAATTATTAAACGCCTCGTTATATCTGCAGGTCCGGTTGTTGGACTGTTAACACGTGTCCTACGTAGCGCGTTTTATTATAAGGTTCTGCAGCGAAGTAATAAAGTTATAATAACTGGTACATTGTGGTTCTTAACCCAGCGAATGGTCGTACTCAGGTTATGTCGCTGCGCCATACGCTAACCCTCCTCAGCTGGACACAATAACTCCTTGGTTGAGGACCAATAATATATTCTACTGACGGTCTTACATGTTCATCTACCTCGCGCAAGCACAGCGCCAGATCTCGGCTCGTTGCCACCGCAACTTTGTAACGGTGCGATGACGACGAGAACTGTCACGTTGCCACCATATTAACCGTTGTCCAAATCAGAATCAAGTCAAGAGGGAGCGGCTGCAGGCTCTGACAGGGAGCTCAACCCAGGTGAGGCCCTCTTCCGCCCCTTCTCCCTGAGACTCCCCTCAGACACCTTAACTTTCCTCTCCGCCGCAACTGACAGGCCCAATTCATCCCATGCGCTTGATCGCAAGGCGCCATCAACAGCATTAGCAACTGCAGCCTCTTGTTTATGCGCGTTTCGTTCCACTTCGTCACCGCGGCTTTGCTATGATGATCTCCTGCTCATAATACTGCATCTCCCTCGCCTCCTGCAGTCGTCAAAACCAAGACCAAAGACCATACAGGCTAAGCCAGCCGGACGGAACGAGGCGAAGTTCAACACAAGAGACACCAAAAGCGATAGGGGATAGGAGAAGCCTAATTAAGCTTCCAAACTTTCGGCGCGTTTCGTAGCAGAAAGGACTTGAGTGGAGCTGCCCCCGTCAGAACATAAACGCGCACACATATTCCCGAGAGAAATGGCAGGCGGCGACCATTTCTAAATCATTGCAGGCGTGGAACATTCCGTGAGAGCGGCAGGCTAATTCTTTCGCTCCCGCATCCTTAAATTCTAGCATTTCGTCATATTTGCAATTTAAAGCCGCAACCCTCATAAAAATACTTTTGCAGTTTTTCGAAATAGAGGCCCCTCCTAAAGGCCACGCGGGGGTTAGATGCCCAAACATAAACATCACTCCATTTAGGTCGTTGGGAGGTTAATAAGCAAGGGTCAGGGTCATGTACACAAACCATACAAATGTACGCACACGCGTGGCTCAGGCCTACTGCCTACCGCACTGTTTTCACGCGGCTCAGTTTCACAAAACGCAAGCCTACCTGGCACAACGCACACGGTGAGCAGAGGCAGTGCACCATGAAGTCGTTGCAGGGCTCGGGGCGTAGGTTGTACTTTTCGCCTGTCGATCAGGACATGGCAAGCAGCGGAAACTAATGCGCATGAGGAGGCGCTGCGTCACCCACACCACTCAATCGACACAACGTGCTCCCGAGCGACTCTCAGCCCGGCCGGTGAGATGAGCAGAATGCCCAAAGGAGGCCGTTGAGTAGGGGACTTACGTATGTTGCGTCGCAAATCAGTCGCGAAGTAGCAGGCCTGCATGGGAATGGGAGGCGCGGTCGGAGGCGGAAACGTCGCAAGAAGAGGGCTTGTGGAGCAAAAACAGCCACGCAAGCACATTGAAGGGGCATGTTCTTCCTGCTAATGCCCCTCCGTAAGTGACTCCAGAGGCTTCGCGCAAATTCCCGTTTCCGGTCCTCCTCCCCCAAAGACCGATCCATCTCCCCTGACAGTCGTGGGGAGCTGCCCATAGGCCTCCCAGCATGTCCCCGAAAAACAGGACACAGCCTTTCACGAATCTTGGATCCGTTAAGGCCTTCTCCTCCGCTTTGCCTGGACCTACTACAAACATGGCCCACTGGTGTGTAACCGTCGCCTAGTTCGGTTCCCGACCGACACCGTGACTCCGTTACATCACAGCCCGCTTACCAGGCAGGGGCACCAGAAGTATAGGCAGCAGGGGCCCCAGCAACCCATATTGTGAAATCGGCCGTAATTCCTGCGACCCAAGTCATGCGTGACATCAGAGATGGAAACCGGGGGAATGCTGGGGTTCGGAAGCCGAGAAGCGTGTGACCCAGATGGCGGGGCGTGCTGCGATTGCTGAGTCTTGGAGTGCGGGAAGTCTGCCATCCTGGCACCCCGGGTTGGCTTTTTATTTATTCCACGTTCGCAAATAGGGCATGTGCACATCGATGTAGATTCTGACACAGAACCCAAGTAGAACGAGTTTTTACCACACAGCTCCTGGCCGCATTTAACAGGTCGTAGTGGTTTCCATCGGCAACGGACCGTCACCGAGTCACAACGCGCGGCAACTCATGACAAGAAATACCGCGACGGACCTGCCGAAGAGGCACGGCAGACACAGCAAGCCGAAGCAGCAGGTGCCGGGGACGTCGCATAGGTCGCAAAGTCCAGAGTTCCAGGAGATCTTGGCCTTTCGTGCTTGCTGAATTAGGGATGTGGGATTGGGTTGACGACGGGGCGGCAGAGCCGTCTCGACAGAGAGTTATATTCTTGTGCTGAAGCGTGGCATGGCAGCGAAGCCGAGCAACAAACGAAGCAATAGCTGTTGCTTCTGTTCAAGTGTTGTATCTCCGAATATTATGCATGTTTTTTCCAAAACCTTCCTGCCTGTAATAACTTCACCTTACCGAGACCAAGCAACTGTCGATGGCAGCTTGACCGGCGAGCCACACTCTTTCTGTCCTTAAATTTGCCTTCATACCTTTGGGTCAAGCTCAAGCAAGCTTTGCTCCCCCGATTTGGCCATGTTAGCTTGTCGTTGTTCACTTGCCAACTCCCTAGCCAATAGTCGAAGTTGCAGATGTCGCAATGCAAAGTACGCCTTGTAGATTCAAATTCCAACCAAAAGATAATAGCCTGGGCCTTGAGCACGTTGACTGGGTATCTGACGGCAGGCAAACTGTTGGTTCCGAGGTGTTTGACAGCTGACTTCAATAGTCTAATACTGTATACGCAAACAAATGTAACTCACAGAATAGAAGAAACTGGTTTAAGAATTGTTTCTTGAGCCAAGCGAAAGGAGTGCCACAAGGGTTCTTCCATTTGCACGGCAGAAAATGTCGTTCACTACAACTAACTGCTGCCAATCGACATAGCATGGTACGCTGGCCTGACACTAGGTAGACGACAAGGTTAGTTATCCAGTCCACCTATCTTCCGCTTACCCTCTCGGGCGTTTCCTCGCAGTCTGATGTCCCTTTGTGCATTGCCTGCTCGGGGCAAAGTCCAGCGTGTTAGGTCGCAACCGCACTTCACTCAGATCCTGGGCACCAGGCGTTTGACACAAGTGCGTCTGATAAAAGCTATATTTTTCTTGAGGAACATACTAGTCAAGTAAACGCAGTCACGTAGCTGGCTACCTGTCCATAGTGGGTCAATAAAAAAATTATATAACACATAAATACGCATGCACGAAGTCCGCCACTGGGCCCTGGTACTGTGTGGGGCTTTTCCGGGTTGTATAGGCTTGTCGTCCGGCGCTCACACAACACGGTCACGTGAGGGCAATAATAGGAATTTGTATATATTTCTCATGATGCCAGGTCCACCTTCCAAACTCACTCTGATGGCGCAGGTGTCGTCATCCGTTCTCTGCCGCGCATTGCCGCGCCTGCTCACACCGTCCGTCGCAGCCAAGCTTGGAACCAGGGTGCGTGTGTGCATTTCCCAAACTCGAACTCCTTAACTCCAATCCATTATGCGACAAAGCATGCCCTGGCCATTCGTCCCCCGACGGGAAATCGCGCTAGCATACCGCCACGACAGCACCCTCAACTACCTACCTCCTAAACCCCATCCGCTCCCCATTTCCAACTCCCTGTACCATCCCCCTCCCCCCTTCCTTCTTCGCAAGTCGCGACTGGTTAGTTGATGCTTCCTTCTGGCCTATCGGTCTATCCTTGGCATCAGCTTCACTCGTTCGTGGTTTTCACTTGTCCGTGGTTCGCCCTACCCCCTCCCCACCTTCCCCCAGGGCTTTGGCAGCCTGACCGCCGGCTCACCCGCCTCAAACAACCCCGCAGCCTCCACGCTCGCCTCCTCACCTCTCCCCACCCAAGCCGCAGCCATGTCGGTTCCCCCCTCCAACCCAGCCCCCGAAACCCCCACCGCCACCTCCTCCTCCTCCACTAAGCTCTCCGCACTCCGCGCCGCCATGTCGTCCGCTGACGGCGGTCGCGGTGTGTCCGCCTATGTCGTACCCACGGAGGACCCCCACATGAGCGAGTACCCCCCCGAGCACCTCAAGTTCCGGCAGTACATCTCAGGGTGTGTGTGTGTGTGTGTGTGTTGGGGGGGAGGGGACACATGACCTGGGGCCCCGTGTAGAAGGGGAGGGGACGATAGGGGGGAGCAAGAGGAGGAGGGTGGGAAGGGTCATGTGGTTGGGGGGGAGGGGGAGGGGGAGGGGACAACCGCATTGCAGCCCTGGAGCCCTGGCCCCACGGGCAGATCCACCTACCTACCCACCTACCTACCTACCTATCCAACTACCTATCGCCCTTCATTCCCTTTCGCCCCTCACTCACTCCCGCCGGCATCAACCCCTTGCTTATCACAAGGGAATCAGCTCCCAACACCGCACATCTCCACACCCACACCCTCGGGGCCCCTCTGCCGATGTCTTCCCCTGTCGCTCGGGATCATAGGTTCACGGGTACAGCGGGCACAGTGGTGGTGACGACTGACGCGGCGCTGCTGTGGACGGATGGCCGCTACTTCCTGCAGGTGTGTGTGTGTGTGTTGGGGGGGGAGAGAGGGGGAAATATATGGGGGGGAGCTGTAGTCAAGTTGTGGTCAAAATTGCCGACGCCCCAAAGTGGATGGGTGGGGTTGGGGGGGGTAGTGAAATGGTGTGTGGGGGGGGGAAATGGTGGGGGGGAAATGGTGGCGGTGGGGGAGGGAAATGGTGGGGGGGAGGGGAATGGTGGTGGTGGGGGGGGAAATGGTGGGGGGGGGGGGAAATGGTGGTGGGGGGGGGGGGAAATGGTGGGGGGGGGGAATGGTGGGGGGGGGAAATGGTGGTGGGGGGGGATGGTGGTGGTGGTGGGGGGAAATGGTGGGGGGGGGGGAAATAACGTGAGGGCTGTCATTTAGAGACGTGTCGTGGTGCGTGGTGAGGTGAGGTGAGGTGAGGTGTGTGGATATCAAAGGACTAAGCATCGGCAAGAGGAAGGGTTGGGTTTACCCGACCACAGCGACTTGCAAGGAATGAACAAGTGGTGTCAGGGAGTTGGTAGCATGTAATGTGGAGATCTGGTTGTACAGGTTCTGAGGATTGAGTTACCCTCCCCCCCAGATGCATCCCCACTCCCCCCTCTCACATCCACGATTGGGTCTTCTCCCGTTAGCACGTCCCGTGTCGTGTTGAGTCGTGTTTCCCCCGAACCTCCAACCGCTCTTCCTTTCTCTCCTCCGTCCAATACCCCCCTCAACCCCCCGTTCTCCTCCCCGCCCCCGCCTCAAATACACGCATAATACACACGCCCAAACACACACACGCACACGCGCCCAAACACACGCACACGCACATACACACACACAGGCTGCTGCGGAGCTGGGCCCCGAGTGGACGTTGATGAAGGCGGGGACAGCGGGCTGCCCAGATGTGAGTGGGGGGGTGGCGGCAGGGTGCGTGTACGTGCGTATGATGTGTGAATCAGGGGGGTGTATCTTCGCCCATGGCAGCTACCCTGCGAAACCCTGCCTTCCCCGGTATTTCGGGGCACCCTCATCCAGTCAACTTCTCAGTGGATCGCTCAGGTTCCGCACCCACCACCAGCATCCAACGGAATCTGCCGGGTCGACAGCGGCCCAACTCCGTTCCTGGTCGGCTCGCAGGTTAACTTTATCCCAGGTCACCACCGTCCATCAACTAGGGGCGCAATGCCTTCCACCATCGGAAGGACTTTTGACCCTAATGGGTATCGATCCCGGGATCTCCCGGGGGCAATGGTCGCGCCTTACCAGTAGTGCCAAACCCTATACATGTATGTATGTATGCATGTATGTATGCATGTATGTATGCATGTATGTATGCATGTATGTATGTATGTGCGTATGTATGTACGTTTGTCAGTTTTTAGGGCATCAGTGAGCGACCTTCATGATGCCTTGAGCCTGTCTTGAAGTGTCCAGGTGTGTGCCGTGTGTCGTACCTGCCGTACGGTGGTGGTGTTGCGGCCATTATCAGCGCACAACTTCACCCATGTACCCCTGGCCAGCGATCCCGATCGCTTGAAGTCTACGTGGGCCCTGCACACATTACATATATACATACATACACATGCGTGAGTTTTGTATTAGCGGTACAAGTTACAAGTTACAAGTTCCGTACACAAGTGCGGGGGTGTCCGTAAAAGCCGGGGGGGGGCCATGGACGATATTAGGTACACAACCGGCCCACGTGGGGTCCAGACGACGCCCCTCTTCCCCTTCCCCAGCTGGAGGACTGGCTGGCTACCAACCTACCCCAAGGGGCCCGTGTGGGTATTGACCCATGGGTCCATACCGTCAACTCGGTGCGCAATCTGCAACGGAAGCTGGAGGATGCCGGAAAGGTGGGAGGGGTGGGGAGGGGAGGGGAGGGGAGGTAGGCGGGATGTGTATGTGTGTGTCTCCGTGTCCATACGTTTATATTCGGAAGGGTGGGAAGAGTAGGTGCCATCGATGCTTAACCCTATCAACTAACTGCCGTACGCCCAACGGCTGTCGTACTATCCAGGTGCTGGTTCCGCTCTTGTCGGATGGCAACCTGGTCGGCAATATTTGGGGCGAGGGGCGACCCCCCGCCCCCAGCACCCCCCTCAGAGTGCACGACATGCAATGGGCGGGGGAGGATGTGCCAGCCAAGCTCGGCAGGATGAGGGAGCAGGTGAGCGAGCGGCTCTGTCGGTGTCTAGGTGGGAGTTATTTGGTGTACGGCAACAGTGCTGTACGGCGCTTTCCTCAGGGCTGTCCTCCCCCCTCTAAATCGGTTGATTATTCGCGTTGTCCTTCGGTCCTTCATCGTCAACGAACCAACCGTTAATACCAACTGGTATTAACCAATTTAACCGACCCAGATGCGCAACGCGGGTGCTACAGCCCTGCTGGCCCCCTCCCTGGACGAGGTCGCCTGGCTGTACAATACCCGGGGAGGTGACGTGGACCACAATCCCGTGGCGTTGTCGTACGCCCTCATTACGGCTGACTCAGCGGTGCTGTACGTGGATACGGCAAAGGTGGTAAATCCCGTGGCGCAGCACCTGGCGGAGGCAGGGGTGCAGGTGAGGATGTATGTATGTATGTATGTCCTTATGTCCTGGAGTGCAAAAGCGGAGCTGAGAAACGGAAGTGGCGAGGATGGCACACACGAGCAGCGGTTGGCCAGGTTTCCTTTGTGGGTGCGCGAACAGATAAAAAACCCGGCGCTGCTGGCGCCCTGGGTGCTGCTGTGGGTGCGGCTGCCAGTGCTACTGCTGCTGCTATTGATGACGTTGATGTTGAGCTGCTACTGCCGTACCCCGTACGCCACTCGTCCGCAGGTAAAGGCGTACGAAACCCTGCTGGACGACGTGGCGGCTGTTGCCGCAACTGGCGGGCGGTTGTGGCTGGATCCAGCTCGGGTGTCGTACGCCGTATACCAGGCAGCTGCCAAGGGTACGAACGTGCACTGGGGGTACTGTGCCAGGAGCGAGGAGGGGGAAAGGGGGGGAAGGGAAGGGGGGGAGGGAGCTTTCACGCATTCCTGTTCGCAGAGCAAAGTGTTCTAACTGACGAATTCGGCAGCTGATGCGCTTTAGCGCAGCATGGGACTGACATACATACATACATACATACACACATTTTCACGCCCTCCTCCTCCAATCCCCGGATATGTTCTCCCCCATGGGTCGGCCGCAACTACCTACCTACCCACCTACCTACCCACCTACCTACCTACCCACCTACCTACCTGCCTGTATATCCTCATGGGTCTCAGCTGCGGTCTCGGAGCCCGGGGCCGCCAGCAAGAAGCGGCCTCGCGAGGACACCGAGCAGCCGCCGCAGCCGCAGGCCGAGGGGGCGCCGACCCATGGGTCAGCTGGTGGTGCCCGCGAGGCTAACGGCGACCACCACGTCAGCAACAACGGCGGCAGTGCCGCCGCCGGGGGGGGAGTGAAGGCCCCCTTCAGGCCCGTGGAGCTCCCTTCGCCTGTGACAGCTGCCAAGGTGTGTGTATGTATGTATGTGTGTGTATGGGGGCCCGGGGGGGAATGTTTTTCTTTGTTGTGTGGAAATAGTGCAGTGCACGCGCCATCCCTATTTGGGCGAGGGGCTTCCGGGCGCGAAGCGTCTTTCGGGGGGCCCCCGAGGCCCCTGGGGTTCACTGCTGTCAGTCTGTCTGTCTGTCTGTCTGTCTGTCAGCGTCGTGTCTCATGATGAACTCACATGCCACGTCGAACTGAGGATTGCATATAAAAACTACTAGAACTCTCTATCGCTTTGCTTCCCACCGAAGGAATCAATTCACATAAATCTGTGAGCGAAGGTAGCTCCTCGCGGGCCATGGCTTTGGCTCACCATCGCGAACTCCGTACCAACCACCACAACCACCAGCGCGCCACTGAATGTACGCCGCTCAGCTCTGCCACACTCCGCAACTCCAGCCCATCCATCTGTACATACATACATACATACATACATACATACATACATACATACATACATACATACATACATACATACATACATACATACATACATACATACATACATACATACATACATACATACATACATACATACATACATCCCTTTTCTTTATAAGGCTACTTCTCCCCTGGACCAGCCCAGGAATGGACAGGTGGTGGAGGTCAGTTGTTTTAAGGTGGTTGCAAGACGTCTTGTGGTGTCGAGCTCTCTTAGCTTCTCTCTTGGAGGTTTTTTGTTGGCCTGTTAGGTATATCAGGAGCCCTCCCCTGCCGGGACTGCCCTAACCGAATTTTTGTTTGTTTGTTTGTTTTCCCTTCGAATCCCGTTTTCGTTGGTGATGTTTTGGGGGGTTGTTTCAGAGAGCCTTTGACTTTGCCCTGTGGTGTTTTCAATGCAGCGCCATCCCCGGATGGAGGGGCTGCGGAGTGGCTGCGTAGAGTGTTGGCAGTCTGAGTCGGGGTCGGGAGCACACAAGACTAACCGACTTGTGCTGTGTGCTCCCGACCCTTGCGCTGTGTTTCGGCTTCGGCCCCCGGCTCTCGCGGCCCACAATGTAATCTAAGTCATACATACATAACATAACATAACATAACATAACATAACATAACGCGGTGGAGGAGAGTGGTTTAGAGTGGTTTAGAGGTGGAGAACAGGTGGTGCTGGTCCCGGCCGGTCAGGGTCAGGAGGGGAGGGATTCCGGTGTGGTAAGCGGGAGCAGGCGGCGTCTGTGAGCCGTGCCTTTTCCGGGCTTTATAGGGGGGCGCCGTGCTGGCTTGTCATCCCCCCCGCGGCTATAGGTGTTTTTGCTGTGTCTCGCGCTGGGCTGCATCCGAGAGCCCGCAACCCCCAGGAGGAGACTGACGTGCGGACCAGTTTCGCCTCGTTTGTGAGTGGACCGGCGAGGTAGTGGTGGCCACCCTCGGGAAGTGTTCGTTGTTCGTTGCTCGTGGTAGTTGAACAGCTGGCCTTCGAGGACCAGTGTGCGAGTACTCGCTTTGTGTTGGTCATTCCTGTGCAACCGTATCTCGGCTTTTGTGGTGTGTCGTCTCAGGCCCGTGGTCCTCCGTGTGTCCCTTGCCTTGCTGGCTGCGTGGGGCCCTGGTTCTTTTGTGTGTGTAGAGGAGGCCCCCGAGTAGAGCCCCTGCCCCCGGTGGTGTTTTCTTTTTGTTCTTGTTTTGGCGGTCAAGAGGGACGAGAGCGCGTGAATAGGCAGGCCAGGCGAAGTGGCGCCTTTCGTGCGGTTCTTGCATAGATCGGTTTGCGCCGCTGTGTTGCCTAGCCAGGGGCTGGGAGAGTGTCCCGGTTGGCGTGAGTGAGGGAATGAGGCGCGCGCGGAGGAACAGACGGACGTAGAGTGAGGCGCGCCCGCCCCTGCGCTGTGTTTCGGCCCGGTCAGGGCCCCCGGTGCTCGTCCTTTATCGGGCGAGCCGCCCACAGTGTAACACCCCATCAACATAACATAACATAACATAACATAACATAACATAACATAACATAACATAACATAACATAACATAACATAACATAACATAACATAACATAACATAACATAACATACATACATACATACATACATACATACATACATACATACATACATACATACATACATACACGCACTCGCCCTGTGCCCGTGCGCCCCTCAGGCCATCAAGAACCCCTCAGAGCTGGCCGGCATGCGGGAGGCCCATCTGAGGGATGCAGTGGCGGTTTGTCAGTTTATGAAGTGGTTGGAGGATAAGGTGAGAAGAGGGGGTGGGGGAAAGGCGAGTGGGAAAGGCGATGGGGCTATGGTAAGAGCATGAAAACACAGCTTGCCTAAACAGGAAATAGACCGTAACGCTATCAGTTGAAGACAGCTGCTCGCGGCCGAGCAGGAGCTCAAGCCGCCCTGGACGTCTTTGGTATTGTGTCTATCTGTCTGTCTATCTGTCTGTCTACCTGTCTGTCTGTCGATCTGTCTGTCTGTCTATCTGTCATGTTCCAGGGTGTCTGGGTATGGTCTTCCTCAGTATCGCTGTGTGACTTCACAACTCTTAGAACATGGGGTCTAAGCCACTTTGTATGTGTGTATGTGCGTATGTATGTACATCACAATGTATAAGGTGATGAGATGTAAAACAATTACACCCGCAATTCACTCGAAACAAGAAATTGTAGCCAATAACGATGGTTCGGGTAGTTCTGGTAGTTGAGGTAGTTGTTAGCGTCTGACCTCGGGGTCCCTACATCAGTATCATGAAAATGTACGACATTGTACACCGTATATCGTACAGATCGTACAGGCCCTCGCATCGACCCAACAGGTGGGCAGCGGCGCTACCGTGAGTGAGGTGGAGGTGGACGAAGTGCTGACGGGTTTCAGGTGCGTGTGTGTGTGCGTATGTGTATGTATGTCCGGGGGGCGGGGGTTAGGGACGTGGGTTTCGGATCTTAGGGCTTTTTTGGCACACGGCACATAAGTGGGAGGAAGAGGCAGGGCAGGACAGGGCAGGGCAGGGCAGGGGGTTCTTACCTGGTTTAGGGAGCATTGTTTCTGATACCTCATATTCAACGGACCCCACCGTCCACTCTCCACCCCCTCTTCGTGTCGGCCATTGTCGTCGTCGTCATCATCATCATCCTCGTCCTATAATTTCCCCTTCCTCACACTCCCTCCCTCCCTCCCCCCCCCTTCCCCCCTTCAGGCGGCAGCAGCAGGGCTTCGTGGAGACGTCCTTCGCCACCATCGCCGGGGCGGGACCGAACGGAGCCATCATCCACTACCGGTGTGTGTGTGTGTGTGTGTGTGTGGAGGGGGGGAGGGGGGGAGGAGGGGAGGGGGAGTGCGTGTGTTTGGCGGGGAGGGAGGGGTGAAGGGCGTAGAGGGGTGTTAGGAGGAAAAGGGGAGTACCGTGTTACTGTTGGCGGCCCGACGGCCTGCCATGTGTGTGTGTGGGGGGGGGGAGAGAGAGAGAGAGACAGGGAGTTTTTGTATTTTGCTGCGATGTATGTATGTATGTATGCATGTATCACTACCCAAACCGGGCCCTCCGCCTGCTCTTCCCCTCGCAAAACACACAGGGCCCAGCCCGGCAGTTGCCGCCACGTGGACGACAATACCCTGCTGCTACTGGACAGCGGGGGCCAGTACGACTGCGGTACGACGGACATCACACGTACTGTACATACGGGCACCCCATCAGACCACCAGCGCCGCTGCTTTACCCGGGTATTGCAGGTATGCGTGTCTGTGCGTTTCTCCGTACGTACGTACGTATGTACGTACGTATCTATGTATGTGTAGATCCCAAGTAGACATGCCGTTGCGGGGATGGGGTTAACATTGAGACGTGTAGGCGGGAAGCCTTGGGCTGTACGGCCGATTGACGCGAGTCACAGGCAATACTTCCAGGCGGCGAGATGTACGACAGGCAACCTCTCCACCCCTTCAATACCCCCCACCCCAAATTTTGGACGTCGGCAGTTACTCCATTTTTATTTCACCATTTGCCACGTCACATCATTCCTCCCAACCCGCCCCCAACCCGGCCCCCCAACCCTCCAGGGCCACATCGCTCTGGACTCCGCGATATGGCCCGAGGGCACCCCCGGTGCGGCTCTGGACCCCCTGGCCCGCCTGCCCCTCTGGCGGGAGGGACTCAACTACCGGCATGGCACCGGGCACGGAGTGGGGGCAGCGCTGAACGTGCATGAGGTGGGAGGGGAGCGGGGGGGAAGGACAGGAGGAAAAGGGAAAAGGGGAGGGGAAGGGGGAGCGAGGAGGGGGAAGCTTGGACTGAAGATTTGTTTTTAGCTGCTGGTTATTATATGCAGTGATACACATGGGAAGAAACTTTGAAGGAAAAGGCCTCTGCAGGTGCCGTACGCCAGTGTTGGCGCAAACAGACATGCATGGGGACACACACACGCACACTCTCTCTCTTTACTGACTCCCATCCGAGTTCTGCTTCTTGTACACTCGTTCCTTGGCAGCAGCTTCACTCGTTCACCTGGTTCGTCTTTCCCCCCCCGCCCACTCAACCCCCCCCCGCCCACTCACCCCCCCGCCCACTCACCCCCCCGCCCACTCACCCCCCCGACCCAGCCCCACCCCCCCGCCCACTCACCCCCCCGACCCCGCAGGGCCCCCAGGCCATCTCCATGCGCTACCACATCACCACCCCCCTCGCCCCCGCCATGGTCTGCTCCAACGAACCCGGGTACTACGAGGACGGCTCCTTCGGTGTGCGGATTGAAAACCTGGTGGTGGTGGTGGAGAAGGAAACACCTTTCAGGCGAGCTTGGGGGTGGGGGGTGCGGGGGGTTATGTGTATTATGGATATGGTGGGACCTGCTCGTGGGAGCCCCACAGCCGCAGCGGGGCTGCTCGTACGGAATTTGAAGGGGCTCTGGGCCTCGGGTTGGTGCTCTCTCTCCCTCCCTCTCTCCCTCCCTCTCCCTCCCTCTTTCTCTCTCTTTCCTCTATTATCATGAGTTCGGGAAAACATTCCAATGCCCTCCCTTCCAGAACGCCACCAAACTCGATGATGGTCCTCTTGTTCTTTCCTTTCTTGTAACTCACCGACATACGACATTCATAGCGCCATTATATGCATATGCCTGTATATATGTCGTGTTCTTAGAGTCGTACATGGGCCGTACATGCAGATACGCCGGTCAGCAATATCTGGGCTTCGAGCGGCTGACCCTGGTTCCGATGCAGGTTGGTTGGTTGGATTAGTTGGGGTAGTTAAACCTTGGGCGGAGAGACCGGCCCCCATATGGAGATATGTAGAGGGATGGTTGGTTGGCGTTAAGGACTGTGATCAAATGGTCAGGAGCAGCAGCAGCAGCAGCGGCAATCGCTTTCGAGCCGTGCGCTATCAACCATCCACCCTACCCCCCATCCATCCATCCACCCGCCCAGCATTATGCTTCCACCTGCATGGCTGCATTCGTGAGTTCTCCGGTGCGGTGTGCTGTAGCTCCCACTCCCTCGCACTACCCCACGCGCTCCCCCCTGGCGGCCATGTCCCCCGGTTTCCCCGCCCCCTTTCCTTGTATGCGGGGCTGCAGGCCAAGTTGGTGGACACGGCCCTGCTGAGCCCCCAAGAGGCCGCCTGGCTGGACGGGTACCACCGGGAGGTGTGGGAGCGAGTGTCGCCCAGGATGCAGGTACGTGCGTGTGTGTGTGTGCGTGCGTGCGTGTGCGTGTGTGCGTGCGTGTGTGTGTGCGTGTGTGTGTGTGTGCGTGTGTGTTTGGGGGAGGGAGGGATGTTGTTGGAAAAGGGTGGCGGTGGGAAAGGGTCGGACACACACACACACACTCTCTCTCTTCCACACATTGTCCCCCTTCTCCTCCCCCTGCCCGCAGGACCAACCGGAGCTGTTGGAGTGGTTGCGCACCAACACCCGACCTCTAGCCGAGCAGCTAGGGGCCCCCGCGTAGATGCAGCCCTCAACACGCAACTTCAGGTTGCTATGTATGTATGTATACATATATATTTGTATGTTTTGAAGGAGAGGGTAGGGCAGGACGAGGGATGCGAAGGAGGGGAGGATCTTAAAGGAGGTAAATGGACGCATTGCGTTGTGTTGAGTTGCTAAGGCAGGAGTAGCCACGTCAGCAATCCTTGCCTGCCTGCCTGCCTGCCTTGTAGTTGTTTTTTGTTTGTTGGGGGAATTGTCAAGTGCCGGACTTCGCAGCTGCTGGTGCGGCGTGCCCACATGCACACAATGTGCTAGTAGAGAACTACACATTCGATACGAAGAATACACAAACAACTGCACTGCAGTACAATCCTGTACATGTTGAGCAATGATCAATGAATTTTGGTTTTCATAAAAGAGGAAGGGAAGAGAAGTAAGTATGTAAGGGCCAAAGGGCCAAGGCACAGCGGGAGCAGTTATTATCCCAGACGAGAGCAAAAGCAGCTGATGATGCACTGAGATCCGAGTACTTTGCATAAGGTTGACTCCCATAACACTATCATCATCACCACCAGCACCACTTCCACCACCACCTCCACCGCCGTCAGCATCCTCACAACCTCCAGGATGCGATGGCAGTTGCGTTGGCAGTGCCGCCGCCGCCGGCGTACCCAACTCCCAACACAAACACAAGCGATGATCTTGGAAGTTGGTGAATCCGTCTGTCTGTCCGTCAGCAGCACCTGCCCGTACTCCGCGCAAATCAAAAAACTTTTACCACTACCAACAGCCACAGCAGCACTGGGAACAGTATGGAAGTAGTTTGATGGTGCAGAGTCGCTAGCACGCGAGACTGCCACACAACCGTCACACAACCCAACCCACCACCCCCACCATCACGATGTCAGGGTCTCAATGAGCATCAACCTCTGCCGCCGTCGCCGTCGCCGTCGCCCCCGCCGCCACGTTCTCCGTCCCCCTCAGGACGCACCTCAGGTTCCCCTTCCGCCCTCCCCTCCCCACCAGCCTCCTCCATCTCCTCTCCCCCTGCCTTGACCCCCTGCCCCTCCATCCCCCCCTCATCGTCGTCGTCGTCGTCTTCAGGCAGGTACTCCATGACCACATCCCACCTGCGCGAGAACAAGGAGAAGAAAAGTAGTAGTAGTAGTGGTAGGGAGTTTGATTGACGAAAGAGGGTTAGGTTACGACGAGGGGTGGTATTGCTGCAATACAGTGTTTAAGTGTGTAAAACCTAGAAAAGTATGTACATCGGTCAGTAAAGTAGTAATAGAATGTTGAAAGGAGGGGGAGAAAGGGATAGGGGCTGGCTGGACATATGGACAGCCAAGGACAGAAAATCCGGGGACCCAGCACCGGTAACAATGCACGGAATGCCAAATATAAGAAGAAGAACACCCCTTTGGTTCCCCTAAAGAAGACGAACTAAAGGGGAAGAAGAACACTAAGGTTCCCCTTGCAACATTTCCCCCCCCTCAACACACACACCCTCCCAACTGCCACCACCTCACCTGCCCATAAACTCCCTAATCCCCCCTCCCTCCCGCATGCCTCTCTCAATATACTCCCCAACCCCCTTCAACCCGCCTCTCCCCCCCCGCACCCAAACCCCGAAACACACCTGCTCCCCGGGGCCGCGAAACTGACGTACTTGACGAACCTCATAAGGCCCTCGTCCCGCAGTACGAGGTTGAGGGTGTTGGCCGCCGCATTCACATTCAGCACTCCGCTCTCCTCGGAGTCCGCCTGTCGTACCGCATGACGATGGAGGAGGCGGAGTATAGGGGGTGGCGAGAAAAGAGGGTCCATTACACACTGGTGGTTGTAATTGTGGCGGTTGTGGTGCAGCAGCAGCAAGGGTCGCAACTACCAAGTTCCATAGAGGGGCATTTCGAGAGGGGAGGTGAGCCAACGCGAGCCGGGAGCTCACCACCAGGGGCAGCGGCGCGCGGGTAAAGAAGGAAGAAAACGGCAGACAAGCATACAGACAAACAGACCACACAGACACGGTTCCTCCAATCAATCCCCTTCCCCTTCTCCGAACATACATACATACATACATGTAATAAACACATGGACTCACATTCACTCGGTACACCTCCGCCGCCCCGCCCCCGTCTTCCCCTTCCTCATCCGCCAACAAGTACGCCTCGAAGCCGCCAACCTCCCCAGCCTGCAAGTTGGGGGCAAGTCGGGGGGAGGGAGGGGGGGGATTATACACAGTTAATAACTGCGGAAGTCATTGGTGGTGTTGGGACGAGCGACTTTTACGGGTTGCGGGATCAAAGCGGTGCGGGGGCAATGCCGACCGCGGGTGCCCCCGGAGAGGCGGACCTGAGCATCCCGGTACTGATGCTGGGGAGGGCGGGACGTGTGTGTGTATGTGTCTGTCTGTGTCTCTCTCTTTGTGCGTTGGCCTATAAAGCAAAGGGCCAAGGAGTTGGATTTAACCTAACCTAACATATCTATATACATACATACATATGTCTCCACCTACTCTCATCTCGTACCTATCCGTACACTCACTCTCCCACTCCTACCTGCCATGCCGACGCCGCCTCATCCGTAGAATCATCCACAAAAGTAAGTACGACATCCAGTCGTGGATCGGTTGTTAAAATGCCGTAATGGGCGACCGTGTAGTCCAACCCTGGCGGGGTGGCGGGGGTGGGGGTGGGGGTGGGGGTGGGGGGAATGTCTGTATGTACCTATTCAATGCCGAAGCATCTAGAGTACGTTAGGACGTGGTATATGTGTTTAAAAAAGGAGGATCCTAAAGGAGGATCCTAAAAAGGCAACCGGCCCGGCCGGGGCCGGTGTCGGTTAGCTGAGGGGACGTGGGAGGGGGTTAGGACGGGGGAGTTATGGGGGTTGCGGGTTGGGAGGACTATCAAATTAATGGTCAAAGAAAACACAGCGAGTGTGTGGCGTGGGGTGGAGTGGGATGGGGTGGGGTGTGAGCGCGCGCGGGAGATATATCGAGTGTCAAGCCACAAGAGAATGGGAGTGGGTCCACCTTGCTTTGTTAGGCACTCCCAAAAACACTTCAAAAAAATCGTACCTCCCCCTTTTCCCCCCTCCCCACCTCGCCGTTTCCCCCATCCAAACCTGTACCTGGTCTGAAGCGGCGCACCTCCCCCGTCTGCCCCAACATTGTTACGCTGGTCAGGGCCTTCAGCAGGCGAGCGAAGGACCCGCTGGCCAACAGATCGCGACGAACTCGGTCAAGCAGGGACCCCGCGGTGGGCGAGGAAGGGGGGGAGGGGGAGAGGGCGGAGGCGGCGGCATCGGCGGCGCCGTTGCTGTTGGCGCCGTCAGCGCCGGCGCGGCTGCTGCTTCCGTTGTCGTACTTGAGGTAGCGTTGCTTGTGAGGGGGACCTGTCCAGGGGAGGGCAGGTGTATGTGGGGGCGGGTTAGGGCCGCGCGCGTGTTTGTGTTTGTGTGTGTGTGTGTATAGCACTAGTATAGTACAGTACATAGCTCTGCTCCCCTGTCCTCTATTTATCCCGCTCCTTCCCTTGCCGTGCTCATATGCTCGGACCAAAACCCCCCTTTCCCCCCTCTCCCCCCCCACACGTACCCACTGCCACCCAGCCGTCCCGCACCCCCGCAGTGTATCTGGGTATTTGCTTGTTACCCAGACCGTCAGCACCGTCCTCTGAGATGCAGGCCGCCACAATCTGAGGGGTCCAGAAGGGGGGGGAAAGTCGGGGAGAGAGCGGGGGAAGGGGGAGAGAGTTTGAGGGTAAGGAAGGGGGTCGGGTGGGGACCGGGGATGGGGTGGGGGGGCGGATAAAGGGATGGGAAATCGCGACCCACCGACCCACACCGACCCAGCACTCACTCACTCACTCACTCGCTCACCTGCTCTGCCAGCCCCCTCTTCAGGAAGTTGTGCAGCTGCACACTGCCCTCCGCCGCGAACCGCTCCCTGATCTTCGGCCAGGAGCTCTCCGACAGATACACGGGGTTCACGTAGCGAATGAGAAGAGCCAAGTCGTCGTCGGAAAGAGGACCGGCGCCACCTGAAATGTACGGAATGTACGGCAAACAGGATACGACAGAGTACGACATGACCCCAAAGAGCGTTTTTGTGTGTGTGTTTGTGTTTGTGTATGGTCATGTGCAACTCTTCTGTCCTTCTGTCCACCTCCCTCTCCCCGGCCCCACCAGGGCCCCCCCCCGGGTTCCCCCATGCCCACAAAACCCCCAACCCCAACCCCACCCTCGATGGTCTCGTGTCGTGTCTGCGCATCCTCCCCCGCCCGCATCTGCAGCTGTTTCAGAGAGGCCTTATCCGCCCCCTGGGGCGGCTGATCCGCGTGGTACCATCCGCTGATGGACAGGCGGGGCTTCTCCCCGGAGAACACCTCCTGGACCGCGTGGAAGGAGCGACCTGGGGGCCGGGGGTGGGTGGGGGGGAGAGAGTTGGGGTGGAGGGGGGTTGGTAGGGGTGTGTGTGTGTGTGTGTCATGGAAAACAGCACTCGACGTGATCTAGGCCACCAGCCATATATATATCAAAGGCGGCTGGGGGTCGCGTGGGGAGGGGGGAGGGGGGAAAGACGAACCACACACGATTGAAGCTGCTGCCAGGGCAAGAGAGTATCAAACGTAGAACTGACCGAAAGGCGTGAAAAGGTGGAGGGGGGGAAAAGATGGAGTGGAGGGTTACAATGCTTGTATGTGTGCGTGTGTAAGGGAGGGAGGAAGATCCAGGTGCTATATTAGTTCCGTTGCAGGGAGGTGGGTCGGTATGTATGTCCGGTACCCGTATCCCCTCCCAATCTAATCACTCCGCCTCCCTCCTCCTGGGACAGGCAGACAAACACGGGCGGGATGGACAGACAGACGGACAGACGGACGGACAGTGTCGTGACCCACTCACTCACCGGGGGTTACGGTAAACATGGCCATGGTGTTGAAGAAGGGCAGGTGGGACAACGTCGGGGCGGGGGCGGGGGTGTGTTCCTGTCCTGCGGGAGTGCGGGTACCGTGTGTGGTGTGTTTTGGGAGCCCCGGGGAAAAAGGGGGGGGAGTTGCGGGTTCGTGTCAGCGGGGCGTTGACAGGTGGTGGGAAATCGGCGCCATCCATCTTTACCCGTACTAAGTAAATACTTCCCGTACTTTCCCGACACGTCCGTCCGCCTTGCGTGTACGAACAATCTGGCTAACTCAAATTCTATCACGCAAGGGACCTTCCCCCCCCTCCCATACACACACACACACCGCTCACCCTCCACTAGGGGATACAGCTCCAGTGCGCCGCCGTCCTCAGGGACCCATGGGTCATCTGGGTCCGTCAGATAGATAATGTACGACACACGGCGGTTGGCGATGACGTCATCGTGGCACAGCAGGTGCCCGCCGTACGCATAGACGTTGCAGGAGCAGTCCGTACGGGGTGACAACTCCCCGCAGCCGGTAACGGTGGTCACGAAAGCGCGGAACTCGTCACTGTATGTATGTATGTGCGTGTATGTATGTATGTATGCGCAAGGGACGGGGGTACGGGGAGGGACGGGGATGCAGCCGGACACAAAGGAACGTCAGGACAATAAAAACGAGGTGACAGGAGGTGATTGGGGCCCCTCTTCCCCCTCTCGCATTTCGCATTTCATTTCCTAGAGGTTTCGAAACGCTGTTGCTGCTACATACCAGTCAGGGTAGCTCAATATGACTTCGGCGTAGTTTCTTTCTCGCTCCTCGTGTCGAGTGGTAGGATTCCTCTATGCTGCGTGCTTTTTTTCCTTTTTGGACGTACAGTCCTAGAAGGCCCTTGGGCCGCCTCTTTGTTACACCTTTGAAGGGTAGTTACGCAACTCCAGGAGGCGTAACACACATACATACACACACATACATACACACACTCTGCCGGCCACTTCCCGGCGCCGGGCACGTCACCCCCTCTTCGAACACAAACACAACACGGGCTCCCTCTCCACCCCTCACATACACACATACATACGCACCTGTACAGCGCCTTTTTAAGTTTCATAAGGCCCGGCAGTTTGGCAGCCGCCTCAGGATCCAGAGAATCCAAATTACCCAGATCCCCTAGGGGGAATGGGGGAGGGGGAAAGCTTCCAGGGTGAACAAGGGGGGAAGAAAGGTAATATGTGTCGTGATGTGATGTCTGATACTGGCAAGCAGGAGAAAGGGGACCATAGTGTTTAGCCAAAGCCAAAGCCGCACACACACACCCCGCTCCGGTGCTGGCCTCCATCCCTAACCCCTCCAGTTCCCCCTACCCCTCTACAACCTGCTTTGTCTTCATCCCTTTCCCTCCTCCCCGCCATCTGCACAGCCCCGGGGCTCAAACCCCCCTCCCTCCCCACCCCGCCTTTTGGATCTCCCCCGCCCTTTGGCCCGCTACGTGTTCAGCCTACTACACACACACACACGTATATTACAGCCTACAGCCCTCACGCCTTCCCTCCGTCTCGTAAGCCTGGGCATTTGATAGTTCACGTATATACTGTGTGTAGTAACATTTCTCCCCCACCCCGGCCTCGCTCACGCACATGCTCTCCTATGTGTAAAAACATCCTTAAAGAGGCCCCCTTCCCTAGCAGGCTCTCCCCTTTCCCCCCGGGATGATAGGGCCCACTAAAGCGCTGTTTGATGGGGCCTTATCCGTGCTGCCGTTCCGCACTGGTTCGCCACGTGGGCACACCAGGGTTGTAATCCTGCTGCTCCCTAATCCCCCTTTCCGGCCCAGGACGGAGGACGGAAGGCTTGGGAGTGAAGCCGGCATCTCCTCCGCCAGATTGGGTGGGAAGCCCCGGGGGTAAGATGGGGGAAGGCGGGGGGGTTGCGACTCCAAACCCACACGCGGCACACGGGACACCGACCTGTCTGGAAGACCTTGAACAGATCGGTTTCCTTGTAGGTGGCGTTGATGTTGTTGATTATTTCGTCGCGGACCTGACGCAGCAGGTCTGCATTGAAGATGTCCCGCATCACGCAGTGGTTGTATGGCGCGGCGGACTGGTATTGCTCGGCCAGGCTGGGTGCGGCTGCCATCACGGTTCCCGATACGATGCCGGCTTCCAAATGGTGACCGCCCGAGACGCCTGCAGCCGGCGGCTGCGGCACGGAAGTGCTACTGGCCTTAAGCTTCTTCGCAGGAGGCTCGCCGGTGGCGCCGTCAGCCGCGGTTAGGGCGTCAGTTGTCGGGATAGAAGCCATCGGAATTCAAAGCAAAAAGCAAAAAGGGAAAGTATCTAGGAAGCTGTCGACGCCCTTTTAGAATTCAAGAATTTGTTTTGAAGGATGAGGTGTCGCTGTTACATCAGCTTGCGTGGAGGTGTCGGAAGAAATTGCTCTAGTGTCGGCGGCGGAATATTATAGGCTTTGTGCACAAATGCCCTACTGTAGCACCGTTGCCAATAGGAAGCAAATAAGCAAAACGAACATCACCACGGCCTGTGCATAATTTTGGCTCGTGTGGACGTGGGGCACTTATAAAACTGTGTTGTACCGGAAGTTGAAGCCTTGTACGCCCTGGTCGCCGCTGGTTGAGCCAGAATTAAGGTAATATAAATGGCTTCATCTTTAAGCAATCTGTGACCCTGTAGCTTCCAATTTGCTGGAGAGTCCAAATGAGGTCCTGTCTCCAACCCAAATAAAATTTGAAGTTGCCACGACATGAACATTTCCTTATAATCAGGAGATGCATTTAATCATAAATTCGTGCTCGAACTCTTGTGCCAATTAATTATGTTGCAAGTTGATCATGTGGATGCGCTTGTTAGGAACTATCTCTTACATATGCCAAACTGTTGGCACTGTTAGTACTGTTCGATTCATGCAACAACATGATGATCTAACTGAGCGGTCACGACCCTGAGACATGGACAGCGGTGCAAAACTGGAGTGGGGCCTCCGCCAATCTCCCCGTACCCCCAAGTCAACCAGCTTTCGTGGGAGCTCTTTCAACACCAATAGTCCGCCGCTGCGTCGGCTGGTGATGGCGTTCTTTCGAACACGGCTAGGCCTACAGCTACTGACAGCTGCCGCGTGCCTGTCCTGGATGACCGCTTCTTCCTGGGCGATTCTGGTCAACAAGGTGCGTCCAAAACCTACATCTCAATAACTCACATGCAACGAACAAAACGGTTCAACTACGGTCAGCTCACTGTTTGGCACATAGCTCCTAGTCATTTTGGCACAAAACGCAGCGCGCCAAGTTTCCGCGGAGTTTCCGCGGAGCTGTCAACTGCCCTATCGTACCCGGATCCCTTGCCGTACTCCACAATGCCTGGGCTCCTCTGCTCTCCTTCTGCTCTCCCAACCATCTCGACCCAACCCAACTCAACCCCACCAAGGTCAACCCGTCCGCCCAACCCTTTCTCCCCCCCCCTAGCATATCATGGTCAACCTCAAGTTCCCCTACCCCTGCACAATAGCCTGGATGGGCCTCCTTACGACAACCCTAGCGTCCTACATCGCAATAAGGCTGGGGCCAACAGCACGCAGGGTCGCGGTGACGACGTTGGCGGTGGTAGCCGGCGGCAGCGGCAGCGGCGGTGGCAACGGCATCCTCCTCTCCCCCTCCCTCTCCCCCTCCTCCATCTCCTCTCCCGCTCTCTCCCCAGCTCTTCCAGCAATGACCTCCCGCTACTACCTCACCAGGGTGCTTCCCACGGGATTCTTCATGGCCCTCACCTTCCAGACCGGCAACATGGGCTACCTCTACCTCACGGTTGCCTTCGTTCAAATGCTCAAGGTACGTACGACAGGGCGCGGCTCGGGGGGTGTCCTCCTACAGTGGCAGCTTGCCTTTGCTGCTCTGAGATTTTGCCGTGATGTCGTACGTATGCTAATCACTTATTGCTTGACTCTCTATGTTGAGTATTCGCCTTCTCCCTCCTCTCACCCATTCCCCCTCCTCCGTCGCACCACCTGTAACCCAGTTACTCTGCTGTACACGCACATACCTACAATCCTACACACAAAACGACAATAGATGCTCTCTACTTCCTTTTACAGGCCTAAAACAGACATATACATACATACATACATACATACATACATACATACATACATTGCTTGGTGAGGGACGAGGGTGAGAGCGGTGCAGTACGAGACAGAGTGAATAGGTTTCTGGAGGATAACCGTTCAGGTTAGTGGCGGTAAGGGGGAGGCGCCGCGCGGGCTACAATCCTCCCCCTGCGGTTTTCTGGAGGGTCTAGGAGCTGTGTGTCGTGGCAACGCTAACGCTTTGGTCGTTTCGCCGGACTCCCCCGGGCTCAAGCAGTGGTGATCAGGCTTGTGCGGGATCCCTTTTCTTTATAAGGCTACTTCTCCCCTGGACCAGCCCAGGAAGGGACAGGTGGTGGAGGTCAGTTGTTTTAAGGTGGTTGCAAGACGTCTTGTGGTGTCGAGCTCTCTTAGCCTTTCTCTCTTGGAGGTTTTTTTGTTGGCCTGTTAGGTATATCAGGAGCCCTCCCCTGCCGGGACTGCCCTAACCGAATTTTTGTTTCTTTGTTTGTTTTCCCTTCGAATCCCGTTTTCGTTGGTGGTGTTTTGGGGGGTTGTTTCAGAGAGCCTTTGACTTTGCCCTAGCTGAGACTTGTGGACTCGCTCTAGCGGGACCTGAGAGCCCTTCGTGGTGTATTCAATGCAGCGCCATCCCCGGATGGAGGGGCTGCGGAGTGGCTGCGTAGAGTGTTGGCAGTCTGAGTCGGGGTCGGGAGCACACNAGACTAACCGACTTGTGCTGTGTGCTCCCGACCCTTGCGCTGTGTTTCGGCTTCGGCCCCCGGCTCTCGCGGCCCACAGTGTAATCTAAGACATACATACATACATACATACATACAT